CACTTTCTTAGTTCAAAAGGAACAAGAGTGCCATTCAAAGCAAGATTCTAAGTCCAATGTTGTGAAAATATATAACTTTTTAGATAGAGAATATATTTAGAAAATACTTAACTTTTTATTTCATTATACTAAAGACATCTACAAAGCACTTCAGGCTCTCCAAAATTTTTCTTGGCTTGCCAGCAGAAAATTTACCAGCTGTTATCATTATGAACAAGATAATCATGAAATCATTGAAGTCAATAGAACATTGACAATGAAATACTTTAAACTCTGGATACTTGTCTTTAGGGGTTTTTGGGGGTCGCTTTATTTGTTAAGGCACACATTTTTTTAGCCCATGGGTCAGTATTGATTTATAGACCTGATTTAGAAAGTTCAAGAGCACATGTACTGAGGTAAAAAATCATTTAGGAATGCTAGGTAGGTCATGAAAATGTTTTGTAATTAGTTAGCTAGAATGATTCTCAGAGGTTGCCAGGCCAAACTTTAATGTCTGAAACTTGGACAGATGTGAATTGACCTGGCCAGCATTCCATAGGAATGAAAACTCCAAACTGGATCTCAGAAGGCTGTTCCAAGGTTAATAATTTCTCCATTTCATGAATTTCTTCCTGTTGCTTAACCAAATGCTCAACAATTTTAACCCAGTTCTTCCTATTTTAATGATTAAAAATGTTTAAGTTTCATGCCCTTCATGTTACAACCTCTCTATTTCTGAGGACTGATATTAAGACTCCAAGTTAATCAGTCTCAAACCCTTTAAGCCATTTTCTAGTTTTTCCCACTCCAACATTTTCCTAGTTCATAAGAGACAAAAGAGTTGAGAACATAAGCTTGTTAGATAAACTAAAGAGAAGAAGAGAAAGAGGAAGATGAAACTAGGAAAGAATAGATATACAGTTAAGACAAAGTTAGAGAGAGCCCTAAAAACATAGTAAGCATAGTTAATGTAGTTTCCACATACAGTTCCTAGAGTCCTGAATTTGACAAAAGTGAAGTTTCGGACCCATGGACAAAGCCAAAGTGGGAAAGGATTGAGGGAGGGAGGTGGGGGAGGGGGCCAGGGGAAAGTGGTGGCGGGAAGGTAGAGACAAATGTATCTGAACAATTTAAAAAATTAAATAAATAAATAAATGTTGGATCAGATTTTTTTAAAAAGTAAGTTGATTAATCAGTGGGGAACTTTGTTAGCTTTCACTTTGCCAAGTAATAAAATTAAAAATATATTTTTAAAACAACAAAGACCATAGTATAAATTACCAGACATATTCATAGAAAGAATATATTCTCAAAATAACAGTTCTTTAAATGGAGTTAAAAGTGCACTACATCAATCATGTTTTTCTCATCTAACTTCAGACAAGTGAAACTTTGTCAAAGAAAAGTACTCCTCTTTCTTGTTCTGACATTTGAAAAACATCACTCTACTCCATTGTGAACATGAAATTAAACAGAAGAACCCAAAATGCTATAGGCAGAGGGTGGTTTCAGAGTGCTACATAGGAAGCACTCTGATATATATAACTCTCAGGAGCCTTCTTGAATGCTCATTAGAAAGTGCATTTTCCAGAAGAAGCAAACTATCAACCTTCACCACACTTTGAGTAGATGCAATGGATTTTTGTATATTGATCATAACATCCTACAACCTTGCTGAACTTGTATATTATCCCTAATAATTTCCTGTGGATTCTTTACAATGTATATATAGTTATATCATATGCAAATGAGAGAGTTTTATTTCTTCCTTTCCTATATGGCTGCTTCTATTTCCTTTTCCTCCTTAATTTCTCTGGCTAAAATGTCCAGTACAATATTGATTAGAAGTGGCAAGAAAAGACATTCTTCTCTTGTTACTGTTCTTTGGAGAAAAACTTTTAGTCTTTCACTATTAAGTATGATGTTAACTAGGGTTTTTTATAGACAACATTTATCAGGTTAACAAAGCTCCCTCTTATTACTAGTTTGTTGAGTGTTTTTTTCATGAAAGATACTAGATTTTTGTCAAATGTATCTATTGAAACAATTTTTTATTCCATTAATATGACTCATTACATTGATTGATTTTTGTATGTTGACCCAACTTTGCACTCCTGGGACAAACCCCATTTAGTTTCAGTGTATAATCCTTCCTATTTGCAGGTGGATTCCGTTTGCTATTATTTTGTTAAAGATTGTACAACTATATATGTAAGGGACATTAACAGTAATTTTCTCTTCTTACAATATCTTTGTCTGGTTTTGGTATTTGGGTAATAATGGTCTCATAAAATGGATTTGAAAATATTCTTTGGGGAGTACTAAAGCAAGAAACAATGGGCAAAAGCAGTAGAAAGATCTCTGAGTGAGATAAAAAATAAAGAGAGGCTTAGCCTTATTAAACAAATAGCCGGTCAGCAGGCATGTTATAGACTACACCATAACCAAACGTGTTTTTGGAAAACAAGAATTTTACACAGATAGTAGAAGCAAGATACAAGCTAGACAAAAGGAATAACTATTGTAGTGACCAATTTTGGCTCATTCTTAATGGGGAAAAATCTTAAGTTTAATTTTAAATTATTTCTTTTTTAATTTAATCTTTATTGCATTTTTTTCCATTACTATTTAGTCTCCTCATACTCCCCTCCCCCGAGCAATCACCACACTATTGTCTATGTCCATGAGTCCTTTTTCCTTTTTGCTCAATCCCTCCCCCTCTCCCTCCTTTCCTTCCAGCCTTCATCCTGCTTTCCATCTATGAGTCTTTCCCCATTTTCCTCGTTAAAATTATTTCTTGAATACAATTATGTTCAAGTTAACTGTATAGAAAAATGTATAAAGTTTTCATTTCATAGCCATAGTTCAGTTGTTTTCAATCTTTGTAACAGAGATTGTTAATTACCCACCATTATCTTGTCCCTTTTTCACTTTTAGTAATAGTAAGATATATCTGGACACATAACTATATATCCAGAGCTTCCATTTCTCAGCCACCCTTGCACCAAGGTTTAGCCATGAAACTAGGTTTTGGAAGTAAAAGAAGGTGATGTGCAACTTACAGGTCACATCCTTAAAAAGACAGAAATGTCCACTTCCCTTTTCCTGTTTGTTGAAATCTGGAAGTCATGGTGGAAGTTAGCTCAGCCATCATAGACCACATGATGGAAGCCATATGTTGAGCATGGTAGAGCAAGGAGGATCCCTACATCACTGATCATCATGAATTCTTTCACTAGGACCATTAACTAAGAGAGAGAGAAATCTTAGTTACCTAGTACTCAGTAAATACTGTTTAGCCACTGCTATTTTGGCCTTTGTTACAGCAGCCAAATTAGTTTCCTAATTAACACAGTCATCTAAAATTTCAGGTTTAAAAAACAAAACAAAACCTCGAGAGCTATTGAAGACTAGTATTTTTATCTAACAGGCTGCTGATTTCAATTATAGTCATGATATTGATATAGTCACGATATAGTCATCAATAAATGAACAAAAAGACCAAATAAGTAATATCCTTTACTGAATGTTGCCTTGATAGAGATTTATTATTATTATTATTATGTCCATTTATTTCTCCCTTTTCCTTCTATCTTGAACATACTCCTGTCAAGTCCTTTCTCCCCATCCCTCCACCAAAACTGATTTTATCAGGATCAGCAATGACCTCCATGTCATGAAATTCTGTGGTTAATTCGGAGTCTTCATTGTACTTGTCTGTTAGCATCTGAAGCATTTGTATATTTTCTTTTCTTTGAAACACTTCACTTAGCTTACAGAACACTTCACTCCCCTGGATTTCCTCCACCTTCACTAGCTACTCTTTCCTACCATATGTTATCGGAGTGCTCCTCAGTCCTTGGGAATCTCTATAATCTATCTACTCACCTTCTTGGTGATCTTATCCTCTCTCATAGCTTTAATGCCATATAGATACTGCACCTCCCCAATTTTTTCCAGCTTACTGAGGGCAGATCCTATGAAGGTAGTAATCCTTGTCTGCTTCTTCCCTGGTGCATCCTAAAGCTGGACCTGCCATGTGTCAGTACGACAAATAAATATTTGTTAAATGAGTGAATAAATAACTAGATGATTTGCTTTATATATAATCTCTTTAAAGTATTTAATATTTACTTTCCTCTTGAAAAATATTAGTGGGCAGGAAAATCTGTACCCTTGTTCAGCATACTGAGCATATGCAGAATAAATTCCAACTATGAATTTCTTTCTGGTGGCACAACCAGGCTTTTTCACTCTCACTGTTCTTGGCTAGCTAGGCACAGGCTGTAATGACAACGTTCTCAGTTGGTTTTAGGAATTTATAGCACTGCAGAATATGGACTGATGTGCCAAAGTCAATAATAGGCTTAAAGAAAATGCATGCTTATTAGTATTCAACTCTTCATGTCTATGAACTCTAATCCCCAAGACAAACTCTGTTAGGATCATAAACAATGCTCAAAATCTAACACTTTCAAAGGGTGTTCACAGGGTCTTCTTTGCTTCTGGTCGTATTTAACAGCCAATTATACTCAGTGGGATACCAGAAACTTAGAAAAGAGCACATATGCCTAATTAGAAATATTATCAGTTAAATGCAGGCTCAGTTAGTCCTCATACAACCTGGGCTTGCCCAAAACTAACCCAGGAACTGAAATTAGCCTTTCCTTTCAAAAGTCATGATAGTAGCGTGCACAAGTTTGTTGAATGGTCTCTGAGTGAGCAGTTCAGGTGGGTGTCTTTTTGTATGTCTTTCAGTGTTATTACATGCGTGTGAGAACGTGTTCCTGAGAGAGCAGATCAATGTCTATCTTCTGAAACTACTCTCTTCAGATCTCCAGAGGAAAAAGAAGGCTTACCATTACTTGAAAATCTGTTTAGAAACAGAGAAAGCAGAACATTCAGGAGACAAAATACTTTCCATCCGGGAACCTCAATTCTCAGAAATAAGGTAATATCTTCAGATCTTGTATTTGATAGATCATTACCAGTGTTTCAGTTTGGCAGTGCTGGCTCACCTGCCACATCTGAGAGAAGTGGAAAGGCTAAGAAGAGGTAGCATTGTGAACCCAAATAGCTGCCTACACACCCATCTATTTCTCCCTTCTTCCTTGTAACAGAACTGTGTTTATTCAGATAGCCAACCTTATCTTTTACACAGTTCATGGGACTGTTGGCCTGGTTCTCATATCTAGAGGTAGACTGTGATTCATCTAAGCTAGGGGACATAAGTAAATATTTTGGGATTGTCTGCGACATAAGCCCCTATCACATATTCTTTGTTTTGTACTTTTATGTTTTATAACCCTTTTAAAATGTAAAAAAACTTTTTTTAGATCATGAGTCATATAAAAACAGACCACAGGCTGAATGTGACCCATTGGCTATAGTTAGCCAACCATTTGTCTAGACCATGATAATTTCATTTCCCCTTTGTCAGTAGCTGCTATTGAAGAGAGTATGTGATCCAGTTCTAGCCAAAGAGGTATAAGAGAAAATCTACTAAGGGCTTTTGAGTGAAGTTCCCTCATCTCTCCTGCCCCCAAGACACTACTGCAACCATCTTGCCATATGAACCAATACATGGAGACAGAGCTAGGAGGCTGCAGGTAGATACAAGACACAGAACCTTAGTTGTACCAGTGTTTCCAGTTACCTGTAGCCCAAAGAGTAAATTTAATCAGTCCAGATGATAACAAATTCAGGGCAGAAGAGAGGAAGAACAAAGAGAATACTTGGAAAGATAAGATGTCAAACAATGTTTCCTCACAGTCCCTAGATATCCCATCCTTCCCTTTATCTTTGTCCGCCCTCTCTCAAATTTCATTTTATAAAGATGCTCTGAATGAATATCAATTATTTTAGTTTTAAATATCATAGGATTAGAGATTAAAGAGACATTAAAAATAACCTACTGCAATTTCTTCATACAGTGGATAAGAAAATGGAGCACAGAGAGAAGTAATTTGTCCTTTATTACACAACTAGTTGGTGGCAGAGATGGGAATAAAAACCAGGTCTCAAATTCAGGTCTGTTTATTAAAACAAGTGATCCAATGTCTAAACCCTAAGAGGGATGGTCTCCTAATAGCACTTATCATGAAAATCTAAAAATCAAGATTTCCATTGCAACATCAAAAGATAAACATAAGCAAGAGTATGAGAGAGAGAGGGAGAGAGAATGAATAAGGGATTGGCTCACACCGTTATGGAGGCTGACAATCCCAAGATTTATCACCAGCAACTGGAGACTCAGAAGAGTCAATGTGTCACTCCAGTCTGATGGTGGCAGGCCTGAGACCTAGGAAGAGCTGATATTTCAGTTCAAGTCCAAAGGCAGAGAAAAACCAATGTCCCCAGTGGAAGCAGTCAGGCAGAAGGAGTTCTTTCTTACTGGCAGGAGAGTTAGCCTTTTCTTTCTGTTTAGGCCTTCAACTGATTGGATGAGGCCTGCCCACATTAGAGAAAGCGATCTGCTTTATTCTATCAATCTAATTATTAATTTCGTCTAAAAATACCCTCAAAGGCACACTCCAAAGAATGTTAGCCCAAATATCCGAGGACCCCATGGTCCAGACAAATTGATGTAAAATTAACCATCATAATCTGCTATCACTGAATTTCTGGGATTTCTGGGTCTGGGTAAAAGGGAGGCAGAGGTGTACACACAGCCTCCAACACATCTACCTTTGATAACTGCCCCTGGCTCAGAAGTTTTGGAGGATCATGTTACCAGAGCAGGAAGAAATACCAAGGTCTCTTTTCTAAGCCTATTTTTTGGAGTTGGGGAAGAGGTGGATAAACTAGTGCGAAACATAATAACCTCCTTTACAATAGAATTTGAAACATAAATTCTGACATTTAAGAATGAAATGGGAGATATAATAAAAAGGTAAGATGTTGTTTAGATAAATCTATTGTTAAATCACAAGGATTTTGAAGAGGTGGAGAATTTAATGAGAACAGAATGATGTTTTTGTGGGCTCTCTAGAAAGCAAGGGCCCCCAAGTTCTGATGACAGGAGACAATTTTCATTTTCCCAAAGGCTTGTGCTCTCAGAAGTGTCAGGCAGCAAGAAGGGGGAAAAGCCATAATACAAAATAGAGTGGAGGAAGGGGCTTCCTTACTGATTGGAATTTTGGCAAATCACAGACCTCTCTGCTCGTAGTTGCAAAGATCTTAAAGCCCCATTATGAAAGATTAAAGGCCTATGGTTGAGGTTAATTGATGTTGACACCTAACACCCTATGAATGTTCAAAAAACAAAATAACAGTAAGAAAAAATAAGAAGGAGCTCTATAGAAGTCATGAAGAGTAGTAAGTATACAAAAAAAAATTTAAAGTAATGTCAGCACTTTCTAATGGGAAGTGAAAGACAGATGAGGAGCTTACTACTTAAAGAAATCAAGAGAGGCCCCACCAGAATGAAGGCTCCATTCACGGCCTTAAATAAAATGCCCTGTGAAACTTCTGAGTGATGAACAGGAATGATTTTTAAGTAAAGTACATTTTGCAATTTCATTGCCTGGATTACATGGTCTAGAAAGTCCAGTCACAGGCAGGAAGGAGGCTTGGCCACCATTTGATAATGTGATTCTATGGCTCGCACCGGCACTGGTGTTAGGGAGAACACCCAGTAAGACCACAAATGTAACACACCTGAGCAACAATATCCTGTTTTTAAAAAATTAAAGAGAGGTCGGTTAATTACCGCACTTTGGAGATCAAATCTGGTTCCACCCTTCTGGGCTGAGAACCTTTTCTACCAAATATTGTGTCTGGAAACCGCCCAAAAAGGGTGTATGTGACCCCCATCCTACCTGAGAATTCATTTCTTCACCTTCTGCCAGATCAGAAAAAAAAGGGTGGATCTGATTCTTGAGGGCACAGAAATGGCACATTGTTAGCCTGGCCTCCTTCAAAACTGTAGCAAGGGGTAGAAGGATTAGAAGCAACATGTCTGGAACTGGGCTATAAATTAAATAAAAGAGCCAGAAGTAAAAATGCCCACTATCTACGTACTATCCAGGCCATTGTCAAGGAACTGAATTATTATCAACTTAGCAGAGTTAGCCTTCAAGATTCTCCCCTCTAGAATAATCTTACCACCTCTATAACTAGCACATACCTCCAGGGACCAGCAGGAGTGAACCAGAGACCCTAAGCAAAGGGAACTGAATGGTTGTAGAACATGTGTGTGTGTGGTGGGGGGTCAGGTATCTTGGCTGATGGTTTCCCAAACCATATTATTACACCAAAATAAATTATATACAGTGTCTGGCACAAATAACGCCCCCTTTTTTATTACAAAGCCTTTTATTACAAAATCATAAGCTTGCAATTCTGTAACATAACAATATCACACTCAAGCACACCATATGACATTTTAGGTAAAATGTTCAAATTAAAACTACAAATTATTACCCATATTATTACCCTGCCAACCATACTCAAGCAGGCTTTACATACCTTGTATGTATGTACGTGTGTGTTGTGTGTGTATTAACCTCAGGAAATAAGGATGGGGTTTTTTTAGTAAGAAATGCTGTGGTGTTTGAGGACATGATTGTATAAATTGTATATGATAAAAAGATATTTCATGTTCTGACTGCTTAAAATACTTAAAACTACTGACAAGCCCAGAGACATTACTACACTGAATTCCCCCAATAACACTGGGTGGTAGGACCCAATTATTTTCTCTGTTCTTTAGAGAAGAAACGAAAGTAGGACTCAAAAATGAATCGAACTGTCAAGCAGAAATGTAGAGGTCTGGCCAGGGGTTAAGGCTGACCTTCAGATTCCAGAGGGTTTGGCTTGTTCCTCCAGTTACCTTCATACTTTTCTTCAAAATTGAGAAACAGAAAAGGAAAGGGAGAAAAAATACAGGAATCTTTCAAAGACATTTGTTTCATTTCATTTGGGTTTTTTTTTTTTCCTTAGAATTTTTAAATCGCCTAGGAAAGTGCCAGACATTTTGTAAATAACAACAGCGAACATGCGCTTGTGTAAGCAATCTAGTGCTAGTGCTGTCCTACATTTTTAACAACCCTTAAAATAGCTGCTTATCTATCAAGTTTACTCTTTTTTCAGGGTTAAAAGTACAGATAAAATAAAGCTGTAGCTCTCTTTTGCTTTACTAATAAGCATGTGCATTAAAGATGACTTTAAAGGAACTGTTGATCCCTAATTCCATTGGTATTCATGATAGCCAGTGAGAAAGAGTCCCAGGAGAAAAGATATATGGGAGAAGCTGAGTTCATGACCCTTAGCAGGAGAGGAGTCATGAGCTGCCTCTGCAGCCTTAGACTGGAGAGTCTCAGTCCAGTGTGTTCAGATCCTGAGCCAGCGCCATTCTCAAAGGAACAAGTTAAGGTGTCTGATTTTTTGCCAGCAAGGTACAGATGATGGACTAAGGGAATAGGGTCTTCCGCCAGAAAAACCAGCTAGTGCTAATGGACAAAGGATGACCAAGTAGATCTTGGTGTTAACAGGTATTTGGAGGGATAGGTGTAGGCTGTTCAGGAAATGGGAGTTGAATAAAGTAATTCTCCATTTGTGTACATGAGAAACAGAGAATGGCTCTTGACGCAGTCGAAGTCCTCATGTCTCATGTTTCAGGATATGAAGCATTTTAGGTAGTAGAGAGAATATAATCTTTATGCTCTGGTTCCTTCTCTTGGCAGATCACTCCCCATCTTAAGGAATCTGTTTACTGAAAAGATGGAGGCTTTCTGGTCACATTCCTCAGAAATGGTGTGAGAGAGGCCTGTCACATCCTTAGCGCAGCTGGAGCCCTAGTCAGAAAAGAAATGGTCCATATTGTAGAGTAACAAGAACTAGGTATGAGAATCCATGTGCTCAGTGACCCAGAACAGAGACAAAATGTCTCAGAAAGCTTACCTGGCTCCAAGGAAACTTAACTGTGCCCATCCCAAATATTGCTGAGTAAACTCCAAGCTCCCAAGTCTTTCTTCCTAAGTCACAGTCATCAGCCTTTCTTTACCAATACATTTTCTTTTTTGCCTGGGTGTCCTCTGAGCCCATTCCTTAGTTCTCAGCACTCTCTTTTTTAATGGTTTTAATGGGCCCACTTCTCGAGCCTAAAAAGCCAGAACTGTAATGTCTCACTTGACCGCACTATGTCATAATAGATGACCTAAAGAGTTCCTTATGTTCAAAGTGTCTGGTGCTGAAACATAAAATTACCTTTTTTCTCACTTCTCCAAGTCCACATTTTTAAATGAATTACTTTAAGAAGAATTCTAGAAACATGAGGCGGAAACAGAAAGATTACCCTTCTGGCTTTATTCCACAGTTGTCCATGACAAGAAATGTCAATTGTACGCAACAACTTTTCTGATGGAGAACTTTATCTGTGGTTCTCAACCCTGGCTACACATTAGGTTCACCTGGGGAGCTCTTAAAAATTAATGCCTGTGTCCCAGCCCTGGTGGTTTTGATTCAATTGGTCTGAGTTGGAGCCCAAGCAACAACAGTTTTTAAAAGATCCCCCAGGTGGCTATAAGGCAAGCTCTGGCTGAGAACGACTGCTAACTTCATAAACAGTGTCTCACTGAATCCATTTTTATGAGTCAGAATTCTATGTTCTCCTCCGAGGATAGTGGCTCAGAGGAGATATTTCCTTGATTCATGAGCTTCTCTTGCCTGTCACGTACATTTTCTTCATAACTGACTTAGATTGGTGCTATGACTCATTTCTCAAAAGTCAAAAAAGCCCAAATTCCATTTTTGGTAGATCTGAACAACTACAACAATTTTCATTCTCTTGCTTTTGAAAAGTGCATTGTACTTTACAGGTCATTTCCCTGATGCTCTCACTCAATCCTAACACAATACTGAGGTAAATATGTCAGATGTTATTCTCTGAGTTTAAAGATAAAAAGAGGAAATTGATGACTAAAGAGAGGGAGTGATTTCCCCAGGGTCACACTCTGAGGGGAAGTGGTAGAAATAGGTCCAGATCAGGTCTCTTATCTCAGTCTTCTCTTCTTCACATCCCCCTCTGCTGCCCCCAGTCATGATTGCTACCTAATCCTACTGAGCTGGAAATACAACCTGATGTTGTTTACTTTTTACTATGATTCTCATTCTTCAGACATGTGTGAATCACCCAGAAATCTTGATGAAAATGAAGAATCTGAATCACTGCATTTGGGGTGCAACCTAAGACTCTACATTTCTAACCTGCCCCAAGTGACACTGATATCTTGATCCATGAACCACCCTTTGAGTAAGAAAGCCATAATGAAATCACAAAATATGTCTCTTCAAATAAAATTGAAGAAAAGAATTAAACTGAGCTTCATCCATCTTCTGGTTGCTCATGAGACAGCATACACTTATTGAAGCAAAACTTCAGAAGCTTGGAAGTTTGCTCTCTGGCAAGAATATGTGTTATTCTTTTGTCAGCCAGATCATTATCGTGCTCATGTCTGGAATCAGATCAACAGCTGGAGTTGCAGCAGCCACTGGCTATAATTTCTCTTTCTCTCCCTGTGCTCTGCTCTAATTCTCAGGCCAACAAGATAAGCCCAATGGGGCCACTGGGCCATCTGGCCATGCAGCTGGCCTGAGCTTCTGAGTCTGAGAACACAATGGTGATTCACTGCATAAAATCCAAGTACTTAGATGACATTGTCACTTCCTAAAAATAAACTCCCAAGAAGAGTTAATATCAACAAAGGGTTTTGTCTTGAAATCTGTTAAAACAGTATTGTATTGACATGGATAGTGTTGTTTTTCACTTTGTTCTTATCCTTAAAATTATAACCTAATTGTTAAAACCTTTACAATATACCAGAATGTCCTAGGGAGCATAAAGAACTAGGACCCCAAAGCCTTGGGTTTAGTTCCATTCTTGCCATGGACTAGACAACTTGGGGCAAATGTTACAACCTTTCCATACTTTAAAAAATTAAATGATGAAACTATAGGCTCTTCAACAATTTTTTTTTAGCACTTATATTCTATGAGTCAGTGTCTCTATCTTTACAAAGTAAAAAGAGATATGATTTTAGGGAAATTTTATCTCTTGTCCTTCTACTTAATTTATCCCCCGCCACCAAAAATGTATCCTACATTCCAATTGTCCCACAGGCCATCTGATCATTGCTCATTGTACTATGAAGCCATCCAATCTTAAACAGTCATTTTTAAGAGTTACCCATTATATGTCATCCAATTTTTAAAAGGCACCATTGAGAATGCACAGCTATGTATGAACACACCAGAGATCTTCTAAATCCTGTTTGAGTTGGATTCTCCTTTCCTGTTAATCCCCTTTGCTCCTCTCTGTGCAAGCATTTTAACAAGTGTACATATTTACTTCCATAGGGTTGTTAAAGGATAATATTTTTATACAATCATTTATTTTTCCTTCTCAGTATTATTCCCTTCCACTTATTCTCTCCACCTCCTTTGCACATTCTCATACTTGCCCTTCTTTGCCTCAGGGAAAGAAATGCACTAGAAAAAAATGCAGAACTCTTCCCCTTAGTCTTTTTGCCTTTTGTTAGCTAAAGTCCTCAGCATAAGAAGTCTCTTAAAGAAACCTGGACAGAGAAGGTTGTTCCTCAGCCCCTAAAGAGACTCTCCCAGAGGCCAGGGGAGACAGGGCAGATCAGGGAGCAGAGGGTATCTCTACCTCACCCCCTTGGTGCAACCACCTGGAAGGCAGCAAGACCTCAGGGAAGAAAGGGGAATGACTGTAGACTGTACAAAGGCCAACAGGACCAGAGACAGTCTTACCTAAGATATCCCAGCCCCAAGCTGAATAGCTGGGAGTCACTATT